GGATTATAGGCACATGCCACCATGCCCAGCTTATTTTTGTATTTTTAGTAAAGATGGGGTTTCCCCATGTTGACTAGGCTGATCTCGAACTCCTGACCTCAGGTCATCCACCCTCCTCGGCCTCCCAAAGTGCTGGGATTACAGGTACTGGCCCCATCAGCATTTCAACATGTGCTTTTCCTCATGTAAAACAAAAACAAAAACAAACAAAAAACCTTACTTCTCTTCTCCCTCCCCCATAGCCCTAATTCCAAGGTGCCCTTTGAAGCAAAAATGTGTTAAAGAGCTGTCCACCCTCACTGCCCCCAATTCCTCTATTCCCATTTTGTCATAATCTCACTCCCAAAAGCCTTTCACCCCGATAGCTCCATCAAAACCACTTTCCAAGCTCATTAATGATCTCCACGTTGCTAAATCCAATGGCCAACTCTCATTCTCATTTAGCCTGATCTATCAGCTGGCACATTAGGCCACTTGCTCTCCTCACTTGACTCCAACAACACCTCACTTTCTTGGTGCTCCCCCACCTCCCCGGCTTCTCTTTTCCTCCAAGCACTCAATGTCCAAATGCCCTAATGCTCAGCCACGGGTCATCTCCTCTTCTCTACTGACACTCACTAGGAATGAGGTAGCGATCCCACGCGTTTCTTATTTTTATCTTCAGACTAGCTCTCTTTGCGCCCACACATCCAACAGGTAATTTTTTGGCTCTATCTTTAAAATAGTAATATATCCAGAATTCAAAACCAGTTCTCACCATCTCTACTCCTACTGACTTCTTTCACCTAGATTACTACAAACAGGCCGGGCACGGTGGCTCACGCCTGTAATCCCAGCACTTTGGGAAGCCGAGGTGGGTGGATCACTTGAGGTCAGGAGTTCGAGACCAGTTTGGCCAACATGGTGAAACCCGTCTCTACTAAAAATACAATTAGCCAGGTATGGTGGTGCACGCCTATAATCCCAGCTACTCGGGAGGCTGAGGCAGGAGAACCCCTTGAACCCGGGAAGCAGAGGCTGCAGTAAGCCGAGATCGCGCCACTGCACTCCAGCCTGGGCGACAGAACGAAACTCCGTCTCAAGAAAAAACAAAAAAATTACTGCAATGAACAGTCTCAGACTTTTATTTAATGCCACCCGGGGAGCTGCCCAAGACCCTCCTGTGGAGTACTCCTACACTACGTACTTCTAGAACTGTGAAGAACTTCTAGAACTACGTACTTCACAGAAGCAGATGGAGAACTGGGGAAGCTCACGCGACCACCATTACCTCCTTGCTTGCTTACTTATGGGCCTATGCCGCCTATTCTACAAAGTGAGCACGTGGAGAGGCAAGGACGATTCTTCTTTCACCTCAGTATTCCCACTGCATGACACAGAGCCCGGCTCGCTGGAACATTTGCTGAAGGACACCTTTTCCACGGATCCCCTCTGGACCCTCGAGCCTGGGCCCTCCTGTGCTCAGCCTCCAGCCCGGGCTATGCTCCTGGGTCCCCGCCCTTCCCTTCCTAGGCTCTGCCGGCCCCCTCAGGACCCCAGGCCCCTCAGACATTGCCCCTAGACGCCAGGTTCCTCAGCTGCCTTCGACCCAAGCCCTGCCTCACCCGCCCCTTCCGAATGTGCCGCAAAGGCCACTCCGCTCCCGCACTCACTTGTCCTCGTTGTCTGACATGACACCCTCGCCTCAGGGACCCCGCGGCGTCCCGGTCCCGCACAGAGACCCGCAAACAGCGCCTCTACAACTCGCGGCGCCTCGCTTATCTTGCGCCTGCGCGGTAACCCAGAGGCAATCACTTCCGGGAGGCAGGCCAGAGAGGGGAAGTGCGCATGCGCTGACTCGTGAGTGCGCGTTTCTATGGTAGCCAGAGTCGCTAGCTGCCAGCTCCAGCAGCCCAGATCGCGTAGTATTTCTGCGTGGCACCGGTGCTGGTGCGGCTGTAAAGCAGTGGTCAGTGGTCACCGCCTCCGGGAGCCCACTTGTATGTGCAGAGGGGAGCACCCAGAGTGGGTCTTAGGGTGAAATTTCAATTTTGGCATATCACCCAGTGGGTACGGTTGTGACCATGGCTATATTAACACTCCCTTCCCGAGGGGACTTCCCTGCCACAGGCGCTGGGTCAGAATGAGGACTATGTGTGTGTACCTGTCTGTGTCTGGGTGGGAGGTTTAGGCACTGTCGCAATATTAACTGGCGGCATCATTCTCTGGCTCGATCTCCGCTTCCAGACTTCTGGGGATGTTGGGCATGGGGGAACAGAGATTAGGAATAGGAGACAGGGGGTGTGTCATTGCGTCTTTCCCTCCTCAGGGTCCTCCCATGGCTTCACAGAAGCAGATGGAGGTAGTGACCAAAGGAACTGGGTTCCGGCGCCGCCCCAAGACGACCACTTACACCCCGGGGACCTGCGAGCTGCTCAGAGGTCAGTGCGTTAAAGCAGCGATCCCCAGCCTTTTTGGCACCAGGGACCGGTTTCGTGGAAGGAAATTTTTCCACTGACGGGGGTGTGGGGAATGGTTTCGGGATGAAACTGTTCACCTCAGATCATCAGATATTAGTTAGATTCTCATAAGAAAAGCGTGCAACCTAGATCCCTCGCGTGCGCAGTTCACAATAGGGTTCGCGCTCCTATGAGAATCTAAGGCCGCCACTGACCTGAAAGGAGGCGGTGAGGCTTGCTAGCCCGCCGCTAACCTCTTGCTGTGCGGCCCGGTTCCTAACAGGCCAGGGACTGGTACCAGTCCACCGACGGGAGGTTGGGGACCCCTGAGTTAAAGGATGAGAGAAGAATGGTGGTAGTTACCCTCTGTAACTGAG